TTTCATGGCTTTAAATTTGGAAAGACTATTTGTGAAATATTTCTCTGCTTGAATGACTAAATTCTGTGTGTAGTGTTTGTTTTGGATTTCTGGGGGTTGTCATCTTATTGCAGACATCTATAATTTGTGTGTAGTTTATCTCCATCTTACTTCTGCTGAATCTTCATTTCATTTGTCGTAAAGTGCATGCGAAAATTGTGTTTACGCAAGAGCTCAATAGTAAATACTAAATACAATTGTTGCCTAGATTAATCATATTCTTTAGCATATTTTCGTATTTTTATATTATATAGAAATATTTTATTTTAAAATACATAATAAATAAGGTGTTAAATTTTAATCACATTGTTGGAAAATATATATGTTGCAATATTACTTGTGAGTTGTCTCATATAGTTTATACAAGGAAAATATAGCTAACTTATAAGTATAAGCATAGTGGACTAATTGGTTTTGAGATGAATCTCACTTGGATTTCACTGGAGTCACCCTCGTGTGGTGTGGTGTGCTTTACGTGCTTGGAACCACTCCCGATAAAAAGAAAAGATTATTAGCCATGCCACCCGTTAAAATGGAAAGATTATGGGCTTGTTTGGCAATCAGCTGATAGCGTTGGCGGTTAGCGGATTGTATTAGCTGTTTTGACCATCGGATAATATTAGCTGGTTTGACCAGCGTATTTACATTAGCGGTTTGTTACAAAGTGTTTGGTAAATTAGTTATTTCATATTTAGTTGTTAGCATATAAATTATTTATAAGTACATTTATATAGCTTTTTTTTTTATGTTTTTGGTATAATTATTTTAGAAAATAAAAATCATTAAAGCATTTAATAAACAACAAAAAATAATAATACAATACCACAAATAACAAATAAACATCAACAAAGAATTTATGATTCTAATTAATGTATATATAAAAAATTTATTTATTTATTTATTTATTTATTTTGTTATGTAGCAAGTACACAACAAACAGTTAAAATGATTCTGAGTCCAAAATAAAGGTAATTAGCTTAAAATATGTTTCGTGAGCCGAGCCAATAATAATTTTATTTTATTTTTTTTCCAATTTTTGCATAATATGAAGTAGAAGCAAACAAGTTATATGTTTTCCCCAAAAAGCTATTGTGAAACGCTGCAGATTACAGCGTTTCTGATTTTGGCGATTAGATAAAAAAGCTATTTGAAAAGCCATTTTACCAAACAATATATTTAGCTGTTTGCTACGGTCAAATTGTTAAAATGAGTAGAAACCGCTAAAAGCTAATAAAAAAGCTGTTTAACAAACACACCCTATAAAGATTATAGCCGAGACATGCAGTGCTGACGGTATCGTCCCCAACGGTACAACGACAATTTCTTGAAAGCGAATTAGAACGGAGTCCAGAACTTTAACACTATAAATTAGAACGAATAATAAAAGCTCACTTTTCTTTTCTGAATGTCACAATTCCCCTTCAGTCATGTTACAAATTTAAATCTCACTTTTCTTTTCTGTTTATCTCAATTCCCCTTCACTCATGTTACAAATTTCTCTTGTTCATTTTCTTCACTAGGCAAAGAGATTTGACAAGTTCATATTGTGTTGTTTTTGTTTTTATAATAATCAATAAAATTATTCACGCAATGAATTACGCCAAAAGACAATACAAGTGGAGCTCACTCAACAAAAAAATTCACTCAATAATAATATGGTGTTGTTCAGTTGTATTGTGTATTTGTTTTTCAAAAAACATTAAAAACTTTTAAATAAAGTTTATATATATATGCAACCGATAACTAAAAATTTTTTAGTTAACGAGATTAATAATTAACCAAAAAAAAAA